CGTACACTTCGCAACAAAACGGTCGCGCTGAGTGTGTGCTTTGCACTCTTAATGACTGCATCTGCACCCTCCTCTTTCACGCCAACGTGCCACCATGCTTTTGGCCCGACGCGCTCGCCACTACATCACTCCTCATCAACATTCGTCCTTGTCGCACTCACGGGAATTTTGCACCTCATTACCTCCTGTTTGGCATGCCACCCTCCTATGATGAGCTCCGCATTTTCGGTTGCATGTGCTACCCTAGCATCGCTTCCACTACTCCTCATAATCTCGCACCTCGGTCTGTGGCCTGCATCTTTCTCGGCTATCCCCCCAACACCAAAGGCTACCGCTACTATGATCCTATCTCTAATCGAGTGATCACTTCACGACACGTTTACTTTGATGAGATGGTTTTCCGTTTCAGCAGGTACCTTCGGATGTTGCGGCCTTGCCCGCTCCCAATGACGGCCGCTCGCGTGCCTCTCTTGGGTCGCCTCCTGGCTTTGAGGGTGTCCCCCACGCCACGGGTCGAGTCTCTCCCCGGTTGGCTGCCCTAGGGGCTGCACCTCCCTCGGCGCCCGCGACGCCCCTGGCGTCCCTGGCCCCGACCACGCCGGCGGCCTCCCCGGTGGCCTCGCCCGCCACCTCGCCCGCGGCCTTGGAGGAGGTGGGCTCTTCTTCGTCGTCGCCCGTATCCACCCCGGACCCGCAGCCCCGCCCGATGACTTGCTCTCGGGCTGGCACCTTCCGCCCGAGCACGCGGTACACCAGCGATGAGTACCTTCTCGCTGCTTCTGTCTCTGAGTCGTCCCGTCTCCCATCCACAGCCCGAGCCGCCCTTCGGGATCCTCATTGGCTCGCTGCGATTCAAGAAGAGTTCGACGCGCTCCAGCGGAATCGTACCTGGCAGCTCGTCCCTCGGCCGCCCCATGCCAACATCATCACGGGCAAGTGGGTCTTTCGGCACAAGACTCGTTCGGATGGCACTCTTGAGCGCTATAAAGCTCGCTGGGTGGTTCGGGGCTTTCGGCAGCGCGTGGGCGTGGACTTCACCGACACATTTGCCCCAGTTGTTAAACCGCGCATGATCTGCGCCGTGCTCCAGCTAGCCGTGTCCCGAGCTTAGCCTGTGCATCAGTTGGACGTCTCCAACGCCTTCTTGCACGGCCACCTCACCGAGCAGGTGTTCTGTGAACAGCCCATCGGCTTTGTCGACGCCATGCATCCAGATCATGTGTGCTTGCTCTCCCGTTCTCTTTACAGGTTGAAGCACGCACCTCGGGCCTGGTACCAGCGCATCGCCGCCTTCCTGCAAACGCTCGGATTTACATCGACTCGCTCTGATGTGTCCCTCTTCGTGTATCATCACGGAGTTGACACGGCCTACTTGCTGTTGTACGTTGATGACATCATTCTGATGGCATCCACTGTCGCGCTCCTCCAGTGGCTTACTGCTCGTCTTCGCGATGAGTTTGCCCTGAAGGACTTGGGTCCACTGCATTACTTCATTGGCATTGAGGTGATTCGAAGGCCAGATGGGTTCTTCCTGCATCAGCAGCGCTACGCCCATGAGCTTCTTGATCGAGCTGGCATGCTTAACTGCAAGCCCGCTCCCATGCCCGTCGACACCAAGGCCAAGGTTTCCGCTTTGGAGCGTTCGCCCGCATCTGATGTGGCCTTCTACCGCTCCATTGTGGGCGCCTTGCAGTACCTGACCCTGACGCGCCCCGACTTGCAGTATGTTGTTCAGTAGGTCTGTCTTCACATGCATGCTTCGCGCGACTCTCATTGGACTATGGTGAAGCGTATCCTTCGATACATACGCAGCACCCAGTCCCTGGGACTTACACTGACGACCTCTGCCTCCACCGACCTCGTCGCCTATTCTGATGTGGACTGGGCCGGCTGCCCGGACACACGACGCTCCACCTCGGGGTACTATGTCTACCTTGGGTCATCCCTGATCTCTTGGTCCTCCAAGCGACAGCCCACCATCTCCCGCTCGAGTGCCGAGGCTGAGTATCGAGCAGTGGCTAACGTCGTTGCTGAATGCTCTTAGCTCTGTCAGCTGCTCCAGGAGTTGCTTTGTGATGTTCACAAGGCCACGCTCGTCTACTGCGACAACGTCTCTGCCGTCTACCTCTCCGCCAACCCGCTCCACCATCGTCGAACGAAGTATATTGAGCTCGACATACACTTCGTTCGTGAG